CTGTAACTAGTTGAGCACCACAGGGATCAGTGCTGGGGCATCAATCATTCACAGTATATACTAAATTAGGAAAGTGAATGCATGATTGTCAAGTTTGTGGATACTTTGAGCTGTCATTCACAGCCTGCAGAGGTATATAAACAGGTCAAAAATGTGGGAAACAGCTTGGCAAATGTGTGGGGAAATGAGGTTGGAGATTGGGCAGAAAGATAATTTAAATGGAATTAGGGCAGGAGGTGGATGTTGTTTATATTGACTTTAGCAAGGCTTTTGACGAGGTCCCTGGTGCAGACTGATATAGAAGGTGAAGCCACATAAGATCCTTGATGAACTGTTATGGATACAGAACTAGCTTATTTCAAAGAGTAGTGACGGAAGAGGTTTATCTGCCTGGAGATGTGACCAGTGGTTTTCTATAGGATCGGTGCTGGGACCACTGGTAGAGTCAGAGCATGAAAACAGGCCCTTTGGTCCAACCAGTCCATGTCAGCCATAACTCCAAACTAAACTAGACCGATCTGCCTGCACTTGGCCTGTATCCCTCCAAACATTGATGTGTACTCCAAATGGCTGTGCCTGCATCCACCTCTTCTGGAAGAGAATTCCAGACAAGCCAATATTTAAAAAGAAGTGTTGCCCCTCATGTCCTTTCAAAACAAACTTTTCACCTCACCTTGAAAATATTCTCCCGAGATTTGAACTCTTCCACTTAGGGAAAAGACCCTATTTACCCTTTATCTCCCCTTTGATTTTATAAACCGCAAAGGTCACCTCTCAGCCTCTTGCACTCTAGTGAGGAATGTCCCAGCCTTTTATCATTTCCTTGAACACAGGCTCTAGCATCAAGAACAGTCTCCATGCTTATGCTTTGAAGTAGCAAATTATGTTATGATGCTTAGATATGACAGACTTTGTTACAATCACCAAGCTTGTCTAGATGTGCATTCCAAATCCAGGATCAATCCAAGTTAATCTTGATTCCTTAACTCACTCATTAGATTTTGCTCAAGTTAGCCTACAATGTGCTACTCATCCCCAGTAGAGGGGAAACTGTCATGACCACCAGCTTATTCCAGGGTCAGCCTGTACTCATTGGAAGGGTTGACCTTATTAAAAACCAAGCAAGACGGAGAGGATTTGACAGTAGCTGTGGAAAGGTTGCTTACCTTTGGTAAGTGTAGGATCACAGGGACACATCTCAACATGGTTGCACTTAAGACAGATGAGCAATTTCCTCAGCAAAGAATGAATCTGTGGACTTGCTGGGATGCTAGTTTTGTAACTGCTTTATCAATGAGGACTCCAAATCCCTTTGTTCTAAAGCTTGCCACAGTAAAAATGATTGAGAACAAACCCTTTTGCCCACTAAAGCTTCTGTAGACCTCTATCCTCTGCCTATTTGTCAAGGTGCCTGTTAAAGATTGCAGTTGTCTGCTTCTGCCATCCGAGTGCATTACAGGCACTTACCCCTCTAATACTTGCCTCATCTCCTGAGCTCTTTTTACCTTAAACTTGTGTCCGAGAAAAAGGGCAGACTATCCATGCCCCAATTTTGGGAGTTTTAGGTCACCCCACCCCAATATCCTTTGGGGAAGTGAGAACAAACCAATTTTGTCCACTATCTCCTCAACTAATATCCTCCAAGATAACACACTGGTTAAGCCATTTCCGTACCCTCTCCAAAGCCTCCACATCCTTCTTGGGAGTGGCATCCAAAACTGTACATGTTATTCCAAATGTGGCCTGAAGTTCTGTGCAGCTACAACACGACTATCTTTACAGTGCCCTGACTGATGTGTGGCATTCTTGCCTTCACCTTCTTTGCCACTTTCAACTAAATATGGACGTCTATGCTTAGAATCATTAAACGTTTAGATCTAAGCATTCTGCCACTTACAACATTAGATCTTCAAAAAAAAAAAAAAAAAAACGCAATCATTTGTCAGAATTAAATTCCAGCTGCCAATTCTCTGCCTCAGCCTCTAGCCTATACATATCCTGCTGTATCCTCTGGCAATCTTCCTCGCTATCTACAGCTGCAGTCTTTGTAGGTTTGTTTTGCAGAGGACACATTTTCCAAATCATTACACTAAAGTTTATCAATATGTTCCTACTAAAGGAGCAAAACTTGGCCTTCTCTTGGGTAATAGGATAGGCCAAGTGACTGAAGCAATTAGGGGAACACTTTGGATCCAATGATCATAATTCTATTTGTTGTAAAATAGCTATGGAAAAGGATAAGCCTTCCATAAAAAAGTTTAAATGGTACAAGACAAACTTGGAAAAAGTGGATTGAGTAGACTGTTTAGATAAAGTGATGTCTGCCAAGCAGAAGACTTGGAAAGTGTGCTAATGAATCTGAATTTTTATTTTACTGTTAGGGTGAAGAGTCAGGCTGGTAGGATTAGGGTTCAATGGATGAAAAGAAAACAGGGGTTCTAGTCAAGAATAAAAAAGTTAGATATAGACAACTTGGTTCAAAATGAAACTGAACAGCTTAAAAAAAAAAAGAGCATAGGAACATTAAAAGGGAGATCAGGAAGGCAAAGATATGATAGGAGAGGACTTTATCTGCCAAGGCTACAGATAATCCAAAAGATTCTACAAGTACGTTCTGAGCAGGAGAGCAACCAGAGTGTATGGCCCCTTAAAGATCTGTGTATTGAACCTCGGGAGATAGGAGATAAAGGATTTGTTAGTTTTTATTGTGAAGAAATGGAGGTTAGAGAAGGCAGGGAAAGAAATATTGATGTTTTGACAACAGTTCATATTAAAGAGGAAGAGGAAATGCTGGAGGTTTTAATGATGGATAAGTCTCCAGGACCTGATCTAGTGGGACTTTGTGGAAAGTCAGAGGAAACTGTGGGGCCCTTTGCAGAAAGGGTTATGAATTTGGGTGAGGTGCTGAATGACTGGAGTGTGGCTAATGTCAGTCCTTTAAGGAGAGATGCAAGGAGAAGCCTGGGAACTATAGACTGTAGTCTGACTTTGGTGGGCAAGTGAAAGCGATTTTCAAAAATAGGATTTATCCATTTGGAGGGGCATGATTAGGGCTGGTCAGCATGGTTGTGTGGGAAAGTGCCACAACTTTGAGTTTGAGGAAGTAACCAAGAGGGAGGACAGAACAGTAGACATTGTTTACTTGGACTTCAGCCTTTGACAAGGTTCTGCATGAATTAGTAAAAGTTAAATCACATGAGATTCAGGTGAGCTTGGTTAGATGTAAAATTGGCTTTAAATGGCCAGACAGTGATGGAAGGCTTTTTCCTCCCTCCAGAGTGGAGGCCTGTGACCAGTGGTGTTCAACAAGGATTGGTGCTGGGTCCATTATATAAATGGATTCAGATAACAGAAAGCATGTTACTAAGTTTGTGGATGACACCAAGATTGGTGTTATAATGGACAGTGAATGAAGGTTCTGCAATTACACTTGAACATGGCCAATCCACCTAACCTGCACACAAACAAGGTTGCTGGAGAAGCTCAGCAGGTCTGGCAGCATCTGTGGAGGAGAAAACAGTTAACATTTTGGGTCTGGTGACCCTTCTCGAGAAGACCTGACCTGCACATCTTTGGACTGTGGGAGGAAAGCGGAGCACCTGGAGGAAACCCACAGATACAGGGAGAATGTCTGTGGAATTTGTGGTCACAAAAGGATAGAATTTAAAGCAAGTTGCCTAGCACTCAGGTAGCAGTGCTAAACATGGCCACTGTCCTGCCAATGCTATAGGTCTGACTTAGAGGCCTTTCAGCCCATCATCCATACTGGTCAAAAACCAAGCTTATGATCCAATTTTCAGCATGTGGCCTATAGCCTTGAAATCACAAGTGCACATTTAAATACCAAGTGTTTCCACCTCTGCCAACCTGACAGAGGGTTCCAGATTTCCATTAACCTCTGGGTGCAAGAAGTCTCATCTGCAAGCTTGCACTTCCTCAAACTGAAGTGGATAATCCTCTATTGCTACTCTTTGCAACCACCTTTGCTAGGACGTTCTTGACCCCATGACCACTGCTACCTAGAAGGACAGGGCAGCAGATGCTGGGAACTTACTACATGTTTCCCTCCAAAATCAGTCACCACCCTGACTTCAATCACTCCCCTTATTGACTCAATGAAAATCCTGGAAGGCCTGCCCCAACTTATCCCTACAGCAAGAATTGTAGTTCAAGGCAGCAGCTTCCACTTTAAAGAGCAATTTGTTATGAACAATAAATGCAGGTCTAACCACTGAAGCAATGGTGAAGGCAGCAAATAGTATGTTGAATATCAGAGCTTGGAGCACAAAAGCATGAAAGTCTTACTGCAGTTCTAGAAGTCCTTGGAGACCACAGCTGCAGTTTTGCTCTCTTGTTCCAACTAGAGAGGGTGTGCAACAAGATTTACTAGACCAATTCCTGGGATGGTAGGACAGAGACTGGATTGGTTTGGGCTATTCAAATTAAGCAGCAAGGAGAGAATCTCAAACTTAAATTCTGTCAGAGTTCAGAATAAACACAGGAATGATGTTCTTGAATAGTGGGGAGTGCAGACGAGGGTCAGTCTCAATACAGAGTAGGCCATTTATGAGAGGAGAATTTCAACTAAACTGTCATGAGCCTGTGGAATTTTGCCACAGGAAGATGTTAAGGCTAAACTGTTGATTATTCAAGAGGTTATATACAGTTTTACTCTCTGCCCATTAGCCTTAAAATCAAAGATGCAGAGTTGGATGACCAGCCACAATGGTATTAAATGGCAAAGCAGGTTTGGAGGGCTAAGTGGCCAGCTCTGGCTATTTATGTTTGTGATGCCCATATATCATGGGCAAATTGGCAGAGTGTGACAACTAATGCTAACTGGTTCAGAAACAAACAGCAAGTGAGGTGCAGGGGCAGGGAAGAGATGGATTGAGAATGTGTGGAGGGCAAAGACTGCAGCTGAACACCGAAAGGGAAAGGGAGTGACGAGTCCCAAGTGGCCCAGTTTCTCTTGTCCAAGAAGGAATGAAGGACAGAGCTCAATGACAAACTTTTATTCATAAAATTCCAAACATTTAAAATCATACAAAATTTACTAGGTTAAGTCTCTGTCCACTTGCTTCCCAACTTCCTTGGGGACTTGGTTGCTATTCCAGCACTTCCAAAACGAAGGTCCATTAAAAAAGTGGAGTCAAATCTGCCAGATGATATGTTCTTCCCAAAAGTCTGGCAGAAGTCACATTACACAGATAAGTGACATTTAGCCCACTCAAATGTCAGCAACTGGTAGATCAGACAGAGCATAAGTGTATGCAGAGAGAGGCAGGACATGGGACAATTGATTATGTAGGGGGTGTATCAGAAACAGAATTGCAAACTTGAATTAGAGCTGAAGAGCAAAATCAAGCTGAAAAAAGTTTCCTCACACCAGTTGGGTAATGCAAATCAGCAACGAATCATGACTGGCAAAAGATGTCTTTGGACAGTTCAGACAGTTTCCCAATCCTGGCGGCTTGTTTCAGAAGTCATTTTGCTCCTATGAATACCAGAAAAATTACAAGGGGAGGTCAGTGAAGATTTGCTAATACCAGGCACTAGACAGAATACTGAACTGTCTTGTACTCCTTAAGAAAAGCTGCATGGACTTGAGGCTGTCTCAACAAAGGTCACGACTGATCCTAGGGAGGGGGAACTGCCCGGAGATTGGGCTTGTACTTGGAATACCAAATGAGGACGCCTTGAAACAAAGATTCCTGGAAGATTTGACATGGTAGGTGTGGGAAGTCTGTTTGCCATTAGGGAGAGTCTTGGACAAAGGAGTCACCCTTTTAAAGCAGATGAGAATTTCTGGAGTTAATCTGCCCAATTCTTCACTAAGCTGTTGAGGCTGGGTCATTAATAAAAGCCTGCATCTTGGCCTTGAGCGTGTAAAGTCAGATGAAGTGGAGGATTGGGAGGTGGTGTTGTTGTGGGGGGAGTATGCAGATCAACCATTGTCTCATTGAAAGAGACAGACACCTGGATGGGTTGAATGGCTGACCTTTGCTCCCAAGTCTAAGTTAGTGACAGCTTAGCTCCTATTCAATATCTTTCTCCCCTAGGTTTAGTATCCTGGAAATTCATCCTGGTCCCAGCAATCCAAGATGTTTTGGGATACAGGAGGAAAGAAGCCATGATTTTTTTGTGAGCTCCCCTTTCTGGAAGAGGGAGGGGTAGTTGAAGTGACTCTGGTCCCATGACCTATCACATGGTGGTGTTGAGATAGCACCATAGCTGGGAATGTCGTTACTGAAAACTTTGGCTCAGAGGACATGGGATCAAATCCTCAGCTGATGGTAACATCAGGATTTCTGATTGGAATAAAAGTTTTGTAACAACCATTTCACCACCAATTGTGGTGAACATCCATCTAATTTACCGTCTTAAGGAAATCTGCCAGTCTTACTAGGTCTAAATCTATGTGGGACTCCTAACTGCCTCTGGGCAGTTGTGGTTGGGCATCGAGTCTGACCAATGTTGTCCACATGAGGACAGATAGTAGATGGATAGTTGTATTTTAGGCACTGCATCACCTGCTTAATTTCAACTTTTGCCCACAAGAGGTTGAAATGTTACTAATCCTGTAACAAAATAATCACAATGGTTTATGGGCAGATGGTGGCATAGTGGTAATGCTACAGGACTGGTAAACCAAAGACTTGGGCTAATGCTTTGGGGAGGTATGGTTTCAAAGCCTTACATTACAGCTGAGTGCAAAGACTATTAGTTTTGAACTTTCAAAAAAGTGGGCAGAATGAGAACACCAGTAGCATTTTAAAAAGAGTAATTTGACACTCATGGCATGCATTTGAACAGTAAAAAGTTGTTAAAGATACATTGGAGCCAAGGTTGTGTAGAGATGCTCCTCCAGGTGCCAAGCAGGAAGTGAGTAGTCTACAGACTAGCGATCAGGAAGACTGAAAATCTTTTTGCCTGCCAACCACCATGCAACTGGTTTCTAGGTAACCAAATGGCTTGGGGTTGCTAAAATGATAGAGATTTGACTACCATGAGCTCAGAAGCTGACTTCTCTGCAGTCAAAACCTGCTTTAAATATGAAGTAGTTTTCTTCACTTTTCATCTAGTTGTTGCATACTGTTAGTTGGCAAGTCAGACCCATTACAAGTGCACCAACCATGCTGTACCTCTTGCAAAACATTGGGAGTAGAGAAAGATGACCAAATGCAATCCAACCAACACAAGGATCAAGTCAGCACCCTGTGATTAGAGACCACTGAATTGCCTTCCTAGTTCTCTTCTACTCACTTTTCCCAGGTTGCTGGGATGGTCTGTGCTGGTCAGAATGTAGTTTCTTTACAAAGCAAGAGATTTCTTGAGGGGTACAAGTGAAGAGACAGGAGGGATGTGGTACCTGGAGCCCCTTGGTGCTTGAGCAGCTTGCAGCATCCTCCAGTCCGATATTCCAGTCTGTTAATGAATTCAGCCATTGGCACGTAGGGCTCATTCTCTGCCTCATTCCTTTGGCTCCATTTCTCAGATAGTTGGAATGGTTTTGGCACAGTGCACCCTTGGATAGAGTATGTCTAGAACAACAAAAGTTAAGGCACCTTTACATCATAGCAGGAACTGTTAGCACTTTGCTTTACACTAAGTGAACAGAGTAGTCTTCAGCCTGAAAATATAAAGAGACTTGTCTACTTGATGACCAGGCTGACAGTTAAAGCTTTAGTAGGTGACCTATTAGGCTGGAGACAATGATCCTAGTGTTGTCTCCGATTAGGGAGTCAGACCTAAAGTCCCTTCAGCCCCTCGTCTGTGCCAGTCAAAAATCTACCTAGCTTTTCCAATTCCATTTTCCAGCACTTGTCCCATAGCCTTCATAGAATCCTGCTGAGTGGAAGCAGATCATTTGGCCCATCAAGTGCATATTGACCCTGAGGAGCATCCTGCCAAGAATCACCCCCCCCCCCAAATAATCATGACCCTGCATTTCCTGTAGCTAACCCATGTAGTCTACACATCCCTGGGCATTATGGGTAATTTAACATGGCCAATCCACCAAACCCACACATCTTTGGATTGTGGGAGGAAGCCTCCACAGACCTGGGAAGTGTGCAAAGTTCCCACAAGTGGTTATCCGAGGGATGAATTGAACCAGATTCCCTTGCACACAAGTGTACATTTCAATCCTAGTGTTTCTGCCTCTACCGCCTTTGCAGGCAAGTAATTCCAGATTCCCACCACCTTCTGGGTGAGAATGCTCATCTCAGCCTCCTGCCCCTTACCCCAAAAGGACATCTCCTGATGAATCCCTTCAAGGAGGAAGTTCCTTCTTGTCTATTTTGTCCCCCTCAATTTTATACATACCAATCATGTTTCCTCAATCTCCTCTGCCAAACAACCCCAGTCTGTTCAATCTCCACCATAAAAAACTGTCCAGCTCAGGCAGCATCTGTTAAGTCTCCTGTCTAGTGCTGTCACTTCCTTGGGCACAACACTCTAGCTGAGTCTTAGTGTATATTTTAGGTAGCTCCAGTATGACCATCCAGTTATACTCTGCATCCACTAAAAGCAATATGCCATAACTACTTCATCCACTTGTCCCAATATCTTCAGGCACACCAAGGTCCCACTAATCTTGGCTGCTTCCCAGATTATACCACTCGTGTGATCCCTTGCCACATTTCTCCTGCATCACCTCATGTATCCCCTGCTAGGGGATGTTTACACTTGTCCAGTGTCTCCAGTTGTGTAGAGAAGTGGAAAGTGCTTTCATATCATGTAGTCTTCAACCAGCTTACAACCTGCACTTGGCAAACTTCTGAAGACTAATATACAACAACTTTGTAAGCTGTCAAGAACACATTCAACTTGAAATGTAAATTGGTTTCCTTGCCTCAGTTTCCAAAAGGACCATTTGATAGGGTAAAGACACATTCATTAGACAGCCTTTCAAAAACAGCAAGCCAGACAAGTTCAGAAACAAATGTTCTGTATAGAGGGAGAAGGCACTGGACAAGTCAAACCAACAAGTCTGCACTGTCCATCTAAAGTGCATCCCACCCAGACCCACCCCATCCCTATCATCTTCATGGGATTTTCAACCAAGGCTATCCCACCTAATCTGCACACTAGTGCAATTTTTCAAAGCATGGCTAATCTGCTTACAGCTGATACACTGCACTAGTTTGGAGGTGACAGCATACCAAGGGTGAGATGGTGAATAGACACTGGCTGAGCATATGCCCACATCCAAGCACAGAACATGGGACTCCACATACAGCTGACTGATGGAATTGAACCTGGGTTCCTGGTGCTGAGTGCCAGTCCACCAAGCTGCCCACTTCATGCACCAGTCCTACAGCACAAACAGACTCTTTGGTCCAACCAGAGAATGCTAAACATAATCCCCAAGTAAACTAGTCCCACCTGCCTACTCTTGTCCTATATCCTGCAAATATGATCTACTCATGTACTTCTCCAAATGTTCAAGACATTTTTAAACATCAGTGAGGGAAGTGAGGCAGGAAAGTGGAGGATGAAAATCAGCCATGTCGTTGTTTGGCATACTTGTTGCCTCAAGTCTCAGTGGGATAAGTTCACCTACATGGTCAGGCTTTGGAGTGTAATCTCAGAGCACTAGATTCTTGTAAGGTCCCTCGAGTCCTTGCCACATTGACAGCACTCAAATAGGCCATTCAACCCTTGAAGCCATCTCAGGCAGTGTCAGCTCCAGTTATGGAGCCACTTTCCTTCAAAGGAATTCACTTATTGGAGTGCTAAGTGCATTGCAATGACAACTATTATTATTTTACAGGTTACATAAATCAAAGACACATTCTCATGACTTCAGACAGCCTTGGGGCAGAACGAGGTGATGCTGAACTTGTGCAAGACATTAGACAGACCTATGGAATACTCACTTACTGCTCTGGATGCCACGCTATAGGAAGTATTTGGACACAGAGGCTGGACATAGAGGCAGGAAGTGATTTACAAGAGAGTGTTTGAAACAATGCTGAAGAAACTGGTCTGGCAGCATCTGGGGAGTGAAAGTTAATGTTGAGTTGGGTGACTCTTTAGAAGGGTCAGAAGTGCCTTTGGACTTTATGTTAACTTTACTTTCTTCAGATGCTGTTTGGACCATGGTGTTTTAGTACTTTATTTCCAGTATCTACATTTTAATACAAGAGTGTTTTGCAGGGGCAAGAAACTTCAATAATAAAAAGACAGATTGGAAAAGTTGACTGTTCTTGTTGTAGGAAGGCAGCCAAGAGGATCAGATAGCATGTGAATCTGATGATTGAGAAACTACCTAGAGTCCACTACCTGGTAGTGTAGACAGGAAGCCTCTAGATGGTTGCAACCATCTAGTCGAAAACCTCAAATTCCTTCTAAACTTCATGCCCTGTTACATCCTTAGTACTCATTTTGCATCCAAGAATGTGTACACAAGATGTGACCTCACTAGTGCCCTGTTCAACTTGGCAATTATTCTTCTATTCACTTAATTGCCATTTGTCTTCTCCACTTACAGGAATGGTACAAGTTAGGAAGGTTCAGTGCTGTTTGGGTTTCACCGATTCCCCATTTCAATAGGACACTGCTTTTCACTGTCAGAGATAGTCAGAGACCACAGGAATAGGTTATGGCCTGTCTAGCTCACTGATAGGAGTTAGGACAGACATCAGATGCCCTAACTTGGACTCCAAACTCCTTCAGCTATTAGGGCAGCTGTGGTTAGCACTACTGCCTCAGCACCAAGACCTGCATTTGATTCCACCTTCAGGTGACTGTGGAGTTTGCACATTCCATGTCAGAGAGCCAGAGCGATTCCTCTGGATGCTCTGGTTTCCTCCCACATTCCAAGGATCTGGAAGCTAGGTGAATTAGCCATGGGACATGCAAGGATAAAGCTGGGTGGGATGCTTAGAGACTCAGTTTGTACTTAACAGAAAGAGACCAAATGGCCTGCTTCCACACTAGGGATTCTACAAGTAGATAATAAACACTGGCCCCATCAAGGATACTTGTGTTTATAACAAGTGACAAAGGACTTCATTACTAGACCATCTGCTAGAGAGCAATCCAATTTCTCAATCTCAAGGTAAATGAGGTTGTCACATGCAGAACAGCTCATCTTAGGGTAAACTTGGATGAAAAATGTTGTCACTCACCGAGGGTGGATATTTGCGGAGCTCCTGGACAAAGTTGAACTCTCTGTACTCTGGGTCCAATTTGGGCTTCCGTGTTCTGGCCAAGGTACTTGCGTTTTGCTGGATGTTGATGGGTCTGGTGGATGGGAGGTTGTTCCTCTGCCTGCATTGTTGACCTGTAAAAAGATGGAAGCCAAAGGCAGTCAGCCTGACCATCTGCAGCGTTCAACCTAAATCTGATACTCGAGGGCAATACAATCTGAATCCCCACTATTGACCAGAAATGGAATTGGACTAGCCATAATGCAGGCTCTACAGAATAAGTTAGAGGCTAAGAATACCGCAAGCAACTCCTCACTCCAAAGCCTGGCCATCTGAAAAAAGGAAGGGGAGTGTATGATGAAATAATCCATGCACCTACATGAGTGACTCTCCAACAAGCCAGGCCAAAGCCGCCTGCACAACCATCCACTTCCATCAAAGGGCAGTAGCAGCAGTGTATACTATTGACATGATCATTGTAGTAATTCACTGGTGCTGTCTAGACTGCACCTTCCATCTACAAGGACAGGTCAATAGGTACATAGTAATACCTGCAAGTATCCCTCCAAACCACTCACTAGCTTGACTTGAAAATATATTCCTTCAGTATCACTGGGTCAAAAAATCCTAAAACTCCCTCCCACAGAATACTGGGGCACACTGACACCTTGGGCTACAGTATTAAGTGGCAGCTCACCACTTGAAAAGGAAAGGATACCAGATGTGAGCAGTCAGAACTAGCTGCATGGGCACCATGGTCCAGTTTGGGCTAAAGGACCTGCTTCCATGCAATTCTGATGCTAAATACTTCTCTCAAACAAGTGTAGGCTAGACAAGGGGCAACAACAAAGATGTCAGTCCATACCACTTGAGGGTCTACAGACTTGTCCAAGCACACTCCTTCCTGCTCTTATTGACTCAAGAAATCTCATCTTGAAATTCAAGAGATCTGGTCAACACTGGCTAGTTATTTAGCACTTGAGCACTTCTATCCCACTTTGTCGGACAGTGGGAGAGGGCAGCTAAAAGTAAACTACAGCTGTCTGGAGTCATATGCAAGACTATACAAAGATTAAATTTCCTTCCAAAGAGGAAATCAGTGAATGTTTCTTTAGAATGACAAATTGACTGGTTGTAGTCACCATTTAGCTAGCCTCTCTCAAGTTTGTGATCTGCCATAGAAATTTGAACCCATCTCAATTAGTGCAAGGCCATTCAGCCCATATAGAGCCAGTGCAGGCATAATCATGCCACTTCCATACCTTTCCCCATATCCCTGTGCACATTTGTCCAAAAGAGAAAAAATAGCAACACCCTCAAGTGTCTTGTTCAATCTGTTCCCACCACATTTCCTAGCAGTGTATTCCAGACCTTAAGTTTCACATCATCCTTGCCTCATTTGCACACAAGTCTATGCCCTCTTGTTCCAAGGAGGGACAGCTAGTTCAGAAGGGTTGCAACATTCAGTTTCAACTCTCCCTTTACAGAGCCTGCAAGGCCAACTGAGTTTCTCCAATGTTTGGAGCAGTTTGCTCCACTGTCCAGCCTGCTCAGATTTGGGAGGTCTCAGGATCCCCTTACCAAGGAGAGTCCCAATGCCAATCTACTCAAACTGAAGTTATCATCCCTGGACTGTCCTTGTTGGATTGAAGAAATTTAGTGTTGCATCTAGTGTTGCCAAACAAGTGTCTCAAACTAGTTATTACTTCCTCTTATAGGCTACATTGAAGCAAGTGTGTTTTTAACTGTTAGTTGAATGGTTATATTGCCATTTGTCTAGCCTTATTTCTGCCAGCATTTAATACCACCTGCTGTGTTACCCATGTTCCCAGAACATGCTCAGGGCTTTGGGTCACTAATCTAGTGATAAAAATCGCTAGACCATTGTCTCCTTTGAGACTACACTGGATTCTACAAATTTCTAGACTAGTTTTCTGATGAAATCCATCTCAACTGCAAATCCACAACAGAAAATAGTCTACTGCAAGTCGTATCAGGCCATTTGGCCCCTTGAGCATTTTACCATTCAGCTTCGTTGATCAGATTGTGGTCTGCACTCTAGTTTGTCTGCTGCTAGTAGCATTTGACTCCTTTACCAAGGAATCTTAAACCAATGCTGTCCCTCCCACTCAGATTCCTCAGACTCAACATACACATTTCAGTACACATGTCCCCCTATATGAAATCCCAATCCCATTGCAGGCATTTAAATGTCTGCATTTGATCTTACATATCTAAACAGGCATGCATTACTCTTGAGCCAGAAGGCCTGGATTCAACTCCTACTTGCTCAGGTTAGGGACACTACCCCTACACCACAAGATCCTTTCAATCTATTTGGGAGAGACAACATAGTTCCTGCAAATGTGAAAACAACAAGAACTAAAGTGAACAGTGTCAGTCAGTTTGAGAAGGACTAAAATCTGGAATGTAGTTGAGGAAAGGGGCAGCATGGTGGCTGTGGTTAGCACTGTTGCCTCATAGCAGCAGGGACCTGGGTTCAATTCTAGCCTCAGGCATTTGTCTGTGGATTTTGCACATTCTGACTGCACGAGTTTCCTCCTAGTCCAAAGATGAGCAGGCTAGGTGGATTGGCCATGCTAAATTGCCTGTAGTGTTCAGGGATAGGCAGAATAGGTGGGTTATGGGTCGGTGTGGACTGGTTGGGCTGAAGGGCCTGTTTCCACAGTGTAGTGGTCCTATGGTTTTAGAAAATCAAAGCTGCTACTTTTTGTCTACACAAGTTTACACCTTATCTTTACAAGGAATGGTGGGAGAAGTGTCATGTTCTGGTCACCTCAGTGATAGCACTAGAGGGAGCACAGGTTCACTAGGATGTTGCCTGGAATGGAGAACTTGACCTTTTAGGGAGAGACCAAATAGGTTTGAATTGTTTTTGGAGCAGAGAAGACTGTGGTGCCTATGATGTATAGACAAGGTAAATAGAGTGTTAGAAACAGAAGTTGCTGGAAAAGCTCTGCAGGTCTTTTGGTTTAAGATAGAGAGCTGTTCCCTTTCCTTTAGAGGTCAATCACTAGAGCATGGGGTAGTAAGGGACAGAGTAAGGGGCAGGAGATTCAGAGGGGATTGGGGAAATGTTTTCACTCCGCACATGGGTGAAGGCTGGATTGCACTGCCTGGGAAAGTAGGGGAGGCTGGAAACTTTAACCTTAAAAAGGTATCTGGATGAGTAGTTCAAATGTCATAATAGTCAAGGATAAGGGACAGTTGTAGGAAGTTCAGTGTACTGTGGTAGTTATATTGGTACAGACACCATGGACATCTGTGCTACATGAATCTGAATCTGTGCTTGAAGAATAAATATGGTCAGGGACAGTTCACTACAACAAACTGATTGCAAGTGTTGGTTGGAGAGACTACTTTTCAGGTCTGCAATTATGCCACCATGTTGTCTGTACATCAAATCAGTCTCTTGCCCTGGCTAGATTTTTGGATGATGGCCTTTAATATAGTTTGCTTGTTCTTAACTGAAATTGAAGACCTTCAGGAGAAAAAATACATATTGATGCAGTCAGCTTTTGGATGTTTCCTTTGGTCTGTATTTTCCCCTTAGTGATTTGGTCTAGCTGTAGCTTCTCAGTCAGGTTATTAGGTGATGTTCCCCTAACAGTATCTGTTTGTCTGGACCAATTGAGAACCCCTAAAGAGGGCCATTGATGCATATGCAGATAGACCACAAGACCATTAGTAGGAACAATAAGCCATTCTGCACCCCTCCCTTCCCCCCACTCCCCAAGCCTGTTGTACCATTTATAGAATCATGGCTGGTCTGACATTCCTCATCTGTTTTCCTGCTTTGTCCACCTGTAACAGTATTTCCTGGTCAATAACTTCTATCATAGCCTCAAGTACACAGCATCTTCATCCCACAGCTCTCTGGCAGTGAACTCAGGACTCAACCCCCAAATTCCTGTGTTCAAGTTGCACCCCCCACCCTTTTGAGAGGCTATGCACCCACTGGTCCTAGGGAATTTCACTCGTTTCCCACCACAAGTTGCAAGCCACTTTTACATTATCCCTTAAAATTAGTTCTTCACATCTCTAGTCCAGAAGTCTGTCCTCCCCACATATCAATGTAGCCTGTTTCACCTTTAAAGATGGTCAGTCCATTGCCTTCAATCACCTGAATTGGAATATCAACTTTACTTCCTATACAAGGGCACACAGATTTCCCCTCAACCACAGCTCTGTAAGCCTTCTCATTACAAATGTTGGTTTCCACTGCAGAAAGTAGATGAGTTCACATTTCCTCCATGTTGTACTCTAGCTGTACAGAGTACCAAATCACCCATCTATCCTTTCAGACTGGTCTTAAAGTGTTCTGGCCTTTAGCAAGCAGAATTTTAGCCTGTTTAGTATCCCTTTTCTTGGATAGAGTTGCAATAGCAGTACCTTTAGCAACAGCCCACTTTTGATCTGAATGATCAGCTGTTTACAGCCCTGTGCTTAAGGCCTAATTAAACACCTGTAGGCAATCAAACTAGTGAATGTTAAACAGTCCTGATGAAACTCAGGCCATTGTAATGCAGGCATACAACACAAGAGGCATTTTGACCTATTGAGTCTATTGGCCTATTCACACCAATTCCACTTTCCAGCTCTTGGTCCCCTAGCCATGAGTATTAGGGCACTAATCTCTGCTAGCAATTGTACAGAAAAAAAAAGTTGTGTATGATGTGACTTGGCCCATAGCCTTGAATTGTATGATACTTGTGACACCAAGTACGAATTCAGAAGTCACATCAACTTTCTCTCTACAGTTGCTATCAGGCCTGAGTGCCCTAATACTCAAGGCTAGGGAACCAGGTGCTTCAAAGTGGGATAGTATAGATTGGCCCATCAAGTCGACACTGACCTAAGAGCCTCTTCTGGGCTGTATGACTATGACCAAGACCAAGTCAAGATGGATTAGATAAATCAGTTTACCTGCTCCAGCAATTGCACGGTGCATCATCCTTCGGTTGCGCTTGATGTGTTCTGCTGTCTCTTTTTGCAATCGGGTGATTGTTGCCATTGTCAACTCTTCTGTGCTCATTGGCTTTGGGAGCAGAGAGTGCCATCTGAAGGAAGGGGACCAAAAACACCCTAGGCTAGCTGGTGTACCAAAAGTCGTAAGTTTTTAAAACAGTAGACACCTTGAAATGTGTCACCATGACAGTACATAAATGCTGATTCGAGGGTATAATCAGCATGGTGCTGATTAGATTTGTTGCCATGGAGTGCTTTAACTATTAAACATTCAGCTATTTGAAATTTCAGTCTGATGTTTGAATTGCATTAAACTCAGGTTTTGCCAGAGTTGGTTTTGCAGGTAAGTTCAGAACAAGGAATCATGTTGTTAAAAATCTAAAAATCAAACCTGACAGTTAGCTGTTAAATTCTCCAAAACAAAAAAAAAAGTGTTCACATGCCAAGCAGTCAATATTCTGAGCACAACTATGTTCTTAAGAGATTTGTCCTCATTGTTAGACAGCTCTTACATATTTGTCTTTCAACACAAACTCAGCACAACCAAGCAACTAGAATCAAAATTTAAGATTTAGCCATCGCTTTCCATCACAGATCTACAACAAAAACCCCTTCACCCAGATACACTGGTCAAAATGCAAACAAACACCTCATTATTCTAATCCCATATCCTAGCACTTGGCCCATAGCCTTGTATGCTTTGGCATTCAAGTGCACATCTACTTTAGCATAGGAGAGTCAGATATAGGTCTTAGAGCTAAAGGGATCAAAGGGTATCAGAGACATGGAACAGGGAAGGGTTGGATGACCACCTACAATCCTGCTGCTATTTTAGCAATGTCAGGGCTTTTCCAGGATTTTGAAGTAATGAGGGAATAGCAGTAGCACTGCAGGCTCAATAGCAGTTTTGGGTGACTGGAGTTTGCTTGTGTCTGTATGGGTTTCTACTAGTTCTCCAGTCACCTACTAGACTAAGGATGTGCAGATTAGGTGGATTTGTTGTGTGAAAAACAATTGTGTCCAGGGACGTGTAGGCTGGATGGATTAGCCAGGGTAAGCATGGGATTAGAATCAGAATCCCTACATTGTGGAAGCTTGCCATTTGGCCCATCAAGTCGACACTGACCTTCTGGAGAGCATCCCACCAGTCATACCCCCTTTACTTGATCCCTACAATTCCCATGGGATATCCACCTAGCCTGTACATCTGTGGGGAAAGCCAGAGACATGGGGAGAACATAAGCACTACAGTTGCCTGAGGCTGGAATCAAACTGGGGTCCCCTGGTGCTGTGAGGCAGCTGTGCTGACCAGAGCCACAATGCTGCCTGGTTATGAGGATGTGACAGGGGCTGGGTTGAAGTAGGATGCTTGGAGGGTTGGTGTGGATTTGATGGGCTTCATGGTCTCCTTCTGCACTGTGGGGATCTCTCATTCAGAGAATCCAATTCTCAGTGAATAGTGGGGGAAACCACAGGGGCAGGGGGAGCTTGGGGTTGGGGGGGGGGGGGGGGGGTAGTTTTATTCCCATGTAACTGCTGACCACCTCCACCTAGGCGGCCAAGGGCATGGCTTTGAAGAGTCCTGTCAGACTAGCCTTGGGGGAGGAGGATAACTGCAGTGTATTTCGTTGATGTTACACATTTTAACATGGACAATAGCAAAGGTGGTGGATGGAATGTTGACCAGGTACCTTGCAAAGTCCAGGGCAAGAAAGTGACCTGATTTTTTGGTGGGGAAGGAAGGAGATTGTGAAGACATTAGAGAAACCATTTTGACCCATTTATCAAAGCTGAAATGTTGCCACAACCAGGAGGTTGCGAATCAAACAATGTTGAAGAAACAGATCTGGCATTATGTGATGGGGTGGGGGTGTAGTGAAAGTTGATTTGAGACTCTGCTTCTAGACTTGTTAACTTTCTCAAGCTGTATTTCTCCCAGCAATAGTTGGTTTTTATTTCAGCATTGTAGGTACTGGAGTAATGCTGATATGGTAATGTCTAGTATATCTATGCTCTGTGCATGGGTTCAAACCCAAGCCAGTTGGGATAAATTTTAATTGGCAAGCCTGGTATTGAAATCCTAACCATGACCATTAGAAGTGATGACCACTACATGGTTCAGATGCCTTCACTGTCTGGCAAAGATGCAACTGGAAGCCCTCACTGTGTCTCATTCAATATCTATAAGTGGTTGGAGGAGAATGTAGGAGGCCTGATCAGTTTCATCTGAAAAAAAAAAAAAAAAAAAGAGAAAGCAGTGGATTGTAAGGGTTGCCAGGAGGGAAATACAGTAAGTGGCTAAACCCTTAGATTAAAAGGTCTACAGTTCCCTGAAAGTGGCAAGGGAAGAAAGCTTGCCTTCATTTTATTGTCTAAGTCCCAATCAAAGTGGGAAATCATGTTGCAGCAATTAGAACTTTCAGGTCACATTTGGAATATTGTGCACAGTTCTGTTTGCCACACTTCTAGTAGCGTGGGGATACTGTGGGATGCAGAAGCTGTTCACAGGGAATGTTGCCTGGTTTGGAGGGTACTAGCAATGAGGAGAGATTGTTCATGTTGGTTTTCACTTGAAAGAGTTTTGTAAACTAGTTATCCATGGATACAAGTGTTTCAACTAGGGTAGAAAATGTCAGTTATGGGGGTTTGGAGGGGGCGTGCGGTGGTGCAGGAAGGGAGTTTAAAAGCAAGATTTTTTCCCTAATAAGAGGGTGGCAAATGCTTGGAATGCAGTCAGAGGATGTGATAGAAGCAGATGCATCAGTGACGTTTAAGCAGCATCTTAAACAGATCTATGAATAGGCAAAGAGGGATGCAAACTAGAGGCAAGTTTAGAAAGGCATTGTATGTCAGACTTCGTGGGCTGAAGGGCCAGCAGCTTTGTTCGCTGCCTCCATTTTTCACCTCAGCCCACTCCACTAGCTTGTCAAAGTCCTTTTGAAGATTAGCAGTATAAAGTTAAAGCACTTCATTTAGTCTGCAAATGAATCAAGGAGGATCACCAGAAACTCCACTAACCTTTGCCCAACCTGATGGCAGCTTTTCTCCCATTGTTGATGTGCACACTTCCGACAGCACAAGGCCAGCAATGATATCGGCTCATTCTTTGAGGTGAAGCCTCCTGACCTTCAGTTAATCTAGTGAACTTCCATTGGAAAGATGGTTTCAAATGGGATCCAAAACTCTACAGTTCCTGAGGTCCCAAAGATTTACACAACAAGATATCTTTATTCTTGTGCCCAAACCTTGCTGCAATGAAGGCCAATATAATTTTTTACTTTTAGTTGTTTGATCACTGGAAGTTTGAATTGGTCAGGGATGTTACCAGGCGAACAATGATGTTACCTGTCCTTAATTGAGCTTGAAATAGATGGCTACTAGGTCATTTCAGCTCAATCATCCATATTGTAGGTCTGAAGTCAAGCATAGGCCAGACCAGGCAAGAATGGCAGCTTGAACATGAAGTTACACAAGTCTCAATTCTTTGCTGGCACAAGTGTGCATGCACTCTGAAGTGCCAGCTTAGTGGTATTATTGCTAGACAATTCATCGAGACCTAGATGAAGGTTCTGGGGGAACCTGCATTCTGTTCCCACTGTGACAAATGCAGGAATTGCAATTTAATTTTAAGACCTGGAACTGAGTCTAGTGACTGAATCCATTATTTGTTGTAGACCAGAGGTTTTTCTAATAGCATCCTTAAGGGAAGGACACTGCCACCTTCACTTGGCCTAGGTTAGGCATGACTAGACCTGGTGTTGTGGGCTCAGCTGCCATCTACTAGTAGGGATGGAAACTAAGTGCTGGCATAGTGTTTCACCCAATGAATCTGCTGTTTATATTCTAATCAGACTTTGGCTGTTTACTCAGACAACCCTCATTGACCAGTTCACTTTCTAACCAGTCAGCAGTTTCCTCAATGATAACAAGGTGCAGAGCTGGATGAACATAGCAGGCCAAGCAGCAGAGGAGCAGGAAGGCTGACGTTTTGGGCTTTCCTGCTCCTCGGCCTGCCGTGTTCATCCAGCTCTGCACCTTGTTATCTCAGATTCTCCAGCATCTGCAGTTCCTGCTATCAAGCAGTTTCCTCAATGTTGGCTTCCTCTATTTACGAGACATCTTGGCGAGTTGAAGAAAGTGCTAAACAAAATCTTTTGACAGCACTAAGAGGACATTTGAAAGCCACTTGAGAAAGAGTCCCTCTTACAATCCCAGGGGAAGTGGAATACACCTGCATTTCCAGTGATTCAAACCATATCCCCAGAGCATTAACCTGGGGTCCTTGGATGGAGCTCAAGTCACATCACATGCAGGTGTCCAGTCTCAGTGCCTGAACTTGTATTAATCTTGTAATTATGAATGTCCTTCAGAAAAAAGGATTCTTTAGGCATTAATGAGAAAAAAGGCAAGGAGCACATCTTTCATCTGGATGCTACTGGTCCTTCAGCAAAGGTACAGATGGCAACCATGTAATTTCTCCCCCAGTGGCTGTCTGAATAAACGTAGTGTTCAATTTGGAGGTTAGATGACATTTCAGGCTCTTGGATTGAAACTTACTTCAGTATGTTGGGGATCGCTAGCACAGTCAGCTGTGGCTCTGTCACTGCCCTGCTGAAATACAAGCATTAAACATCCTGTTGCTCCAGTGCCATAAGCAGTACAGAAACAAATGAACACAAGTGATGTCATGTCATGGTGTTTTGATTGGACATTAAACAGATCATAAAATGACATTAGTCCAGTCAGCCTGGGAACAGTGTAATAGGGGAACGGGACAGCAAGTTGAACTAAGTTACCATTGTTTTTGTCCCACATAGAACATAACAGTGCAGTACAGGCCCTTCGGCCCTTGATGTTGCGCCGACCTGTGAAACCAATCTGAAGCCCATCTAACCTAA